ATCCCTGCCGCGTACCATTATTCCCTTGATCTTGTTTCATTTACCCTCAACGCAGCCGACGGTGATGAATATAGAGCCGAGATCCATTTGAGCTACGTCCGACTTGATCTGTGGCTCCTGTAGGAGCGATTCATTAAGTCACCACATAAAGCATGGGGAGGGAGCTGCTGTCAGGGCTAAGGTCATGTGTACGGGGGCATGATCTGAAAGAAAAATATTGCCAATTGAGTCCGAACGGACCCGTGGAAGCTCTTTGTGTGCTACAAAAAAATAGTCCAGTCTCGATTGTGTGTGATGAGCCTGGGAGAAAAAAGTGTAGTCCCTATCTTGTGGATGCAAAAACCGCCAGATGTCCGTCATGTGTAGGAGGTGGAGCTCCGACTTTAATCGTTTTAGGTAGGAAAAGGCCAGGTGGGAGGTACCCCTGGAGACATCTAGTAAGGGATCCATAGCAACGTTAAAGTCGCCCCCTAGTACCAGGATGCAATCTGAAAATTCTAGCAGGACCTGAAGCAGTGTGCGCAGAAATCCTAATTGATCTGAGTTTGGAAAGTAAACATTGGCCAATGTCACTGAGGCTCCACCTATTGAACCCTTCAGAAGGATAAATCTACCATTATTGTCTATGTACTGATCGGTGTATGACCAAGGGACAGACTTCACTATGAGGACAGAGACCCCCTTAGATTTGGTGATGGGTGATGGGCAGTGATATACCACTGGAAAATCCCTGTTGCGCAACCTGGGGACCTGATCCCCCCGAAAGTGGGTTTCCTGGAGAAACACAATCTGAGACCCCGATTTTCTAAAGTCTGTCAGAAGTCTAGACCTCTTTTCTGGGATATTCAGACCCCGGACATTCAGGGACGTGAACATCAAACCTGCCATTGTCGCTGATAGGAACGAAGACCGCGATCTAGGAGGGTGAAGGAAAGGGGAGTGAAGTGAGGGAGAAAGAGGTAGCGGAGAGGAGCCAAGAGGTGAGTGCTGTAAAGTACCAAAAGGCTGTGAGGTGCCCACCACGGAGTGGTGACACGTGAACAGACTATAATACACACAGGGGTGTATGTTTCCCCGACCAGGCTACTGGTACAGGCAATAAACAAATGTAACAACCCGTTGCGCAATGCACGGGTTAATCCTATTTGGGGGTGGTCGGATAAAAAGAATGTATGCAAATATGTATAATACTTTTGGAAAGGCATCATAGGTGGAGATGCACAGCCCACTCCCGACGGCGGGACGGCACAGGACACAAACCGAACCACCAACTCAGGCCGCCCCTGGGGCGATGCTGACCCACTTCTGACCGTGGGACAGGGGTGGTGCCCCGTATCAAGGACCCCTCGTCCCAAGGCCAGAGCGCGGAATCCGGTGAAGGCGTGTCCCCTACTATTCCAGCCACCGGAGAGTAGACGTCTCCCCCACATGTACAACAGCATTTGACATATAGCAATAAAGGTGAGTACACCACATCAGAAGTAGAACAGACAGGCACATATTGTAGCCCCAGCAAACATACTAGCCAACAAAAGGGAAAAGCTCGGTAAGCAAAAAAAAAACCCAGAAAAAACAAAGCAAAAACTGTGACCTGAATCCTGGGTAGCGCCATCGTCCTCTTGTCTGCGTGCCGTGCAAGAAGGCCGGTGGGAGTTCCTGGAGGGGCGCCTCCATGGAAACAGGACCAAACCTTTGGCTGTCAGACCCAAACAAAACAACAGAGGGTGAAACCGGATAGCAGAGCCCGTGGACCACTGGTGGTCCCTGCTCTTATGCTTCGTGACTTGCAAGGGCCGGAACTGAAGAAGAACGTAATGGGTAGCGGCGGCGTCCTCTGGATGGGCGAACTTGACGTTGGGTTCGAGGAGCAGCATCCGCCGGGCCCGTGGGGAAGTCCAGCCTATTCGGGAGGTCAATGGGTGCCTCTTCCAACCAACGGAATAGATCAGGTAGCTGGATATGTGAGTGGAGGGCAAATGATTGATCCCGATGTTGAATGATGAGATGGAACGGATGGCCCCAACGGTAGGAGGCACCTACCCCGCGTAGCATATCCAACAGAGGTTTCATCAGCCTGCGCATCCTCAGAGTGTGACGGGACAGGTCTGGCATCACTTGTATTGGGGCGCCATCATTGTCCAACGTACCTTTGTTCCAGGCACTCCACATGATCTCCTCCTTGACCCTGAAGAAATGGACCCTGCAAAGCACATCTCTGGGTGTGTTAGAATCAGGGGGGCGGAAGGATTGTACCCTATGCTCCCTGTCCAATTCAATGGGATCCCCAGGAGGCTTGTCCAGGAACAGGTTAAGTATAGCTGTGACCATGGATCGTAGTTCAGGACCCGATGTCGCCTCTGGTATCCCCTTCAATCATCTGACATTGTTGCGGCGACTACGGTTCTCAGCATCATCCTGATGTAAAAGTACAGTGGTCAGTTGTTGCTGAGTGGCTGTGTGTGCCGCTTCCAGTGCTGACACCCTGGAGTGAAGATCATCTGTGATGGTCTCTACAGCAGCCACCTTGCCATCCAGTGCCAATACTTGCTGCTTATTTTTGTGTACTTCTGCCCTTAGGGCCTGCACTATTTTAGCAGCCATAGTATCCAGGTCACCTTTAGTGGATAGCTGAGGGAGGAGGGAGCGCCAAGTGTGTTCATTGTCTGCCCCAGTGTCATGTCCTGCAGCAGAACGATCCGGGCTCTGAGATAAATCCCCTAGCGGCATCCTGGGCGTCAGGATCGGAGAAGCCTCTCTATCTGGCCGTGAGGGAGCAGGATCAGGGGCCCCTTGGGCCGGCTTGGTCTGCCGTTTAGTGGGGGGTTGACTCACCGTGGAGAAACGGCCGGGCGCCATGTTGGAATCCGTCGCGGCCTGCGGGTGAGTCGGTGGCTGGCCGAAGTAGTGAAGCAGATCCCTTGGCTGCATCGTGGGGGACGAGCTGCGGGACCTTTTGGGCTGTGACATGTGGGGGAGAGATCACTTATAGTCCGCTGAAATGTTCGGGGAGATGAGGCTGTGCAGAGCTCCGGTAAAGTGCGGCCTCACTCCTCCATGTCCAAGCCACGCCCCGGGTTTTGTGGATTTGAAGAAAAATGTGATGACTCCCCTCCTTCCCCTCCAATGCAATCAACCTGGGTAGAATTGCTCGTCCCTACTTTGCAAAAAGCCAGCTGTATAAAATGTGGCTTGACCAGTTTAGTGTGGAGGAACCCAAGTGGCCTGTACTGAGCCCTGACCTCATCCACACTGAACACTTCTTTAATACTTCTCTCATGACAGGTGTATTCACTGCAGATTTTAGGATGGAGTCCTGAATTGCACCATTGCAAGGTCAAGTGGATATTACATTATTCACTTATCAACAACAGTAACGGGAAGAAGAACTTTCTGAAATGTTTGTAACTAAACAAAGAAGCAGAATGTTGTTGTGTAATGAGGCCGCAGTGAGATCTGCGCAGTGTAATGAGACACAGGAGGGATCTGGCTGGGGATCTCTGGGAGCTGCTGAATCCTTCTATATATGGTGAGGTGCTGCAGGGTGGGGGGGATCCATGTGTCCTCCGTACCTGACACTCCACACGTCTGTATACAACTGGATGAAAGAAGATGATCAACACAAGATCTGATAACAATTTACAGGACACATTGTAACTGTCTATAACAGAGAGGCGTTGTCTGTTTCATACATTAAATATTCTTCTACAAGGTGATAAATCATTACTGACAATTATTCAGTATTGTAATGCTGGATATGACTCATATTCCTTCCCTGTATCTCACACAGACCCCATACATCATCAATAAGGTATTCTGAATATACAGGTGAGTCTTTACAATGTGTCTCATCACACTCCCCTCATATCTTCTGCTCTGGTTCCTCATCAGTTTGGGGTCATGAAAGAGAATTCCCAAAATATGATGAGTTCAGTCTCTGGATATATTAGGAAAGGGGCGCTGTGATGATGATATCGATGATCAATCATAGAAGCAATCACACTCAGCTTTACACTGATGTCCCCTGATGATTGCTGCTATCCCTTGTTATCATTGTACAAATCTTTACACACTAACACTTTACATGATGGAAACATTTCATATTGGAAATGTAGAATTCATGATGGTTTTCTCTAAGTATGTGGTACTTGTGTCATCTCTTCTACTCGTTCTGGAATCAAACTAGTTTATTATCATGATTGTTTTATGATAAAATCCCAAAAATAAGTTATTTTCAAATTTGGCAGATTTTATATGATTTACTCCAGAAATCCATGTTATCAAGGAAACTTGTTCTGAGGGAAATATGAGGGTTGCTATTTGCAAAGAGCTCCTTTTTAACATTCTAGCTGCTGGGCTGTCTCTGGGTCAAGTGTGTTAAGTCAGAGAGCTCCTGATGTAAATACTTGTTTCAGGTCAGTTAGAAGCACTAAAATCACTGGGTCAGCATCACAGCCCTGAACATGGCATTATCTACAGGAGAGGACTATAAGGGAAGTTCCCATGTTTTCTTCCCTAAGGGTTTCCTTACAGGGTCCATGCTTGGTCCCAACACCACTACTAATTGTGTGTTAAAATGTGCAGATTTAATACAATGTTTTGTTGAGGATCCAGTAGCATTGATTCCTTGTACATGTCAGAGCTATATAAATCTATAATAATAATAATAATAATAATAATAATAGTGTGTGACTGTGGCGGGGACATTAGAGTGTAAGCTCCTCTGTAGAGAGACTGATGTGACTGTGGGGGAGGCATTAGAGTGTAAGCTCCTCTGTACAGAGACTGATGTGATTGGCTCAGTGTTCTCTGTACATCACTGTAGATTTTCAAAAATTCTGTGCAGTGCATTACATTTTATATAAAATATAAAATTAATTAAATCTATTTTGTTTGTTTGAAATGTCTTGGTGTTAATTAATCTTTACAATGTCTTCTCCAGTGCAATGTCTTCCTGGATCCTCACATTATTGCTCCCTCTCTTAGTGAATTATTTGGTTATGATGGGAAATCAAACTTCTCAGTCTGAATTCATTTTGCTCGGCCTGTCGGACCTCAAAGATTCTCAGATTCCAGTATTTCTGCTGATCCTCCTGGTCTATGTGGCCACACTGGCTGGGAATCTTCTCATTATTTTCCTGGTGGCCTCAGTCCCTCATCTCCAGACCCCCATGTACTTTTTCCTGGGAAACCTCTCTGCTTTAGATATCTTCAATTCCTCCATTTCCATATCTCATGTGTCTTTTGACGTCTTTACTGGAAACCGGCTGATTTTATACTCAACTTGTATCACCCAGGTCTTCTTCTTCACCTGGTTTGTTGGCATAGAATCATTTATACTTGTGATGATGTCCTATGATCGCTATGTAGCCATTTGTCATCCTTTGCGTTATACAACCATGATAAGCCTTCATTTGTGTGCTCAGGCGGCGTTCTTTTTCTGGCTCTTCAGATTTGTCTGTTCCTCAGTGCACACACTGTGTACACTAAGACTCTCCTTCCCTGACTCCACCACCATCCCAGGTTTGTTCTGTGAATTTTATCAGCTGATTCAGCTCTCATGTTCTGACACTTTCCTCAATTACTTAATTGTATATATTGATGCTGTAAGTTTTGGAGTCACTGGGTTTTTCATTACTTTCCTTTCTTATGTCTACATCTTCAAAACCATCCTGAAAATTAAACTGAAGGATGGAAGACAGAAAGCTTACTCCACCTGCATTTCCCACCTCACGGTGGTCTTCATCTTTTATGGCACCGCTCTTTTCAACTACTTTCTTCCCAAATCTAAGGATTTTCTGGCAGGCAGATTGATGTCTGTATTTTACACAGTTTTCACCCCTTTCCTAAACCCGATTATATACAGCCTGAGAAACAGTGACCTGAAAGGCGCTCTTCAGAAAACTCTATTTAGAATGAGCTCTATTCCATGAACTGTCACTAGAGGAGAGCTGCACAACAATTGTGTTAATATCAGCACTGTTTGTATGTTTAACTGATTTGCAGAACTTTTATTTTAGACGAATATTATTTGTAAGGCCAAAAAGGCATACTGTCTTTAAATGAAGGGTCCTTTTAAACATAGACAAGGATTTCAACCCGCTCAAAACAAAAATTTCCTGGCACAGCTACTGGCAAGCCCATCAAAAATAACAAAGTTAAACCATTTTACAATTTGTGCAATAAACAGAGGTTTTAACTGCATGCATGTATTATTATTATTATTTAGGATTTATATTGTGCCAACAGTTTGGACAGCGCTTTACAAACTAAAGGGAGATAGTACAGTTACACGGCTGTAGGGAACTGTTCTTATATATACTTTCTGTGGTTTTGTTTACATTAGTGCCTAGCCACTACCATAACCTTCTTGTTACAAACATGCAATCATGTCAAACAAGTGTGCCGTGACACTCGTAGCGTGACTTGCTGCATTGCAATGCCTCTCATTTCAAATGGCACCCCAATACACTAAGGCAACACACCTGTGTTCTATCGTTTGATGTGCATGGCACCGCATGGTAGTGGTTGCTGTGGGTTGTATTACAAAAAAAAAAGGTCAGGTCCAATCTTCAGCATGTTGGGGTTCATTGGAAGCCCATTCATACTGAATGAGCTGCCCTAACGCAATGCATGTGCAGCATAGTGCTCTGCAAAGGAGAACATTGGCCTTTCCTGATTCTATTGCAGAATGTATCCCAGGTATACCCTCATTTACAGCATAGCACCTGATAGGAAGGATGCCATCCACTGCTTTACTGTTTTGGAAGAGCTTTGGCTTTAACATAACATCAGACGGTCATGTTAGATATACACACCACCATGACAGTATTTAAAACCTGATTTTACTATATACTTATAGCAGGCTGCAATAAAAAAAACTGCAATAATATCCAGCATGTGACCATGGGAAGCTCTGACAGTTGTCTTGCAGGAAGGCGACTTTAGTTTCTGTCATAAACTCTTTATCACGGAGTATGTAAATGAGAATCATAAAAGTAGATAAGGTTTAGTGTCAATTTTCCATATTCCATGTTTCGCCACACCTCGAGGGAGGAATCTTTGATATTCTCTTCCTGTTCATGCCGGGAGTGTAAGAGCTGAGATCAAAGATCACAACTGCTGGCTCTCCGCAAGACACACACCGGACGGGAGGACAAGGTAACGTTCTGTATGGGGGGGTGAGGGGAGAATGCTCCAGGGTTACAGGTGACAGACAACCATCATTGTGACTCTTCGTTATTGAGTATGGAATTAATTTAATTTATATTTATTCCCAAGCATGCCGATTCTTCTGTCCAACAACATCCAATGGGGAAGTGCGGCCTGATTTTTGGATCTGTTTCAAATTGTATTTTAGTTTTCTTTGTGTGGGTTAAAGTAAACATTATCTTTTTATATCAAAGGCCGTAGTTGACTTTACTTGTCTGTATCAGGTTTTTGCAATGAATGTGAGACGGAATGGTGGAGGAGGATCTAATCAATAAATATCAATAAATACTTTTGCAATAGCTGGTCAGAGGTCTCTCTGTGTCATAGAGCCATCTTAAGCTGAAGATTAATCTACCTGTATTCTGCCTTCCCTGGTTCCTTCTCCCCTTCAACCAACATGATAATGACATTTGTTAATAAGTAACCTTTCTTTTTTTATTATTACATGCCTTATTTTAGTCCCAGAGATGTTCTCACTGTCATCATCGCTGTGCTTTTCTATGCAGTGCAGCAATGCAGACAGAACATGTCTGGTGGGAAGGACCGGCAGGGTGCTGTACGTAGATTCCTGAAAACAACACAGCACCCTGTCTTGGTACTCCTCTCAAGAGCCCTCAGATCTGATGCAAGCAGTGGGAGGGATCTTGGGAGGGGTTCTGGAAATAAACTATATTTCACAAAGAGGAAGCGCCTTTCTGTTTTCTGTTTCTACATGGCTTTGTACAAATATGAAAGTACCTTGATAGATGAGTGTCAGTCTGGAGGAGTGGGCAGTCCTAGGTAAGCTGTATTTGCATGTAGAGCACTCTAGGTAAGGCCCACATGTGATGCTCCATGACTGAAAGAGCTTGAAATGAAAGGGGCGTGCCAGGGATAGTCAGGCTGAGAAGAAAAGAACGGTCTAGATGATGCTGGATGTCCTCCAACCAGGAAAAGAGGGGGGCTCTATCTGACTTGCTGCAGCTTCTAATGCACATTGTGAGAAGTTCCCAGTGTGCAGTGATATCAGAGGAAGCAATTCCAGTCCAGGAGAGGAACCGGTACAACTGTGCAAGACTGAAGAGAAGACCGGGGTTTAGATCTAGGGGTGCAATGGGCTTTAAATGGCTTCTAAGGTTTCAATTAAGCTCCTTTAAACATCCTGCCCCTGTTCTTGTGCTATGCCCCCCTCATTAGCTGGACACATGACATTAGATATTCAAGAGCAGGGAAGCCCCTACCCTAGTTATAATTTTAACCCCAAAACCAAACACTAACCCTAAACATAATCCCTAATACTAATTAACCCACATGTCAACCATAACCTTTAGTTTATAAACAAAGCCATGTGATCAGCAGGTCGATGCTGATGTGGCCATCACGTGGTTTTGTTATAAATCCAGCAGATCTCGGCAGTCCACACAATGAAATATGAGGACAATTTTGCAAATGCAAAAACAGTAATTTTGCTGCAAAATCAATTCCAGTGAACCTGGGGCGTAACTAGAAATCACAGGGCCCCATAGCAAAATTTTGTATGGTGCCCCGTGATTGCTAGTTATGCCACTTGCAGAGCCCACCATAGAATGTCTATGGTGAGCTCTGCAAGGTCTCAGTTGGGCCTCTTACCTGTCAGCGTTGTCCTGCTCCGTGGTTGCCGCCGCCGGGCCCCTGCTTCCTCTTCCGTCCCCGGGCTCCGCCTCCTTCTATTGGAGGGCCCCGCCTCCTCTTACATCACTGGCCCCACCTGCTCTTAGATCGCTGGCCAGTGATGTGAGAGGAGGCGGGGTTGCTGTTAGGCGGGCCCGCCTCCTTCTTTAGCTGCAAACGCCGGTGTAACCGGCATATTCTGCTGCATCTGCTGGCTGTCACTGACACAGCTCCGCAGCGGCTGTGAGAGGGAACGTTCTCCTTCACAGCTGCTGCTGAGCTATGTCAGTGACAGCCAGCACCCGAGACGCCATAGCGACCCAGGAGGCCCACACAGCATCAGCGGGATGCCTGGCCGGGCCCCCCTGTGCACGGACACCATAGCGGCCGCCTGGGTCACTATGGCGATTGTTGCGCCACTGCAGTGAACTCATTATTCTAATCATTATAATTCTAGGTGGAAATTTACTTTAAACTATTGTCAATACATTGTGTGACAGGACGATGGTTTGGTTGTGTATATAGATGGAGAATGTATCTACACATCGTGGTTTTTGTTTCCGTACCAGACAATGAACATGTTTAAAAATGTTTTCCAATCCCGTGATTCTAGAGTGAAAGTATTTTTTTGCAGGAAACAAGAAGAAGATGGCTATCCAAAAGCTGACGGTTGGGATCTTCTCGAGAGACGGAAAAGACAATTATAAATGGCTCATTAATGTTCTTCAAGGAGCCATGTTTCTGGATGTGGTACAATACGTCTTTCCTGTGTACATCACTAATAATTTCCGATCCTTCACTGACGCCTTGGCTCAGTGCTCGTTCGCCATCTTGTACCACACCAAGAAGAGAGGACGCCTAAACATTGCCAACGTCACAGATTCCCTCTATGACGTGGAGCTGCAGGACCTGAAGGATCATTTGGGTGAGAGAACATTATAATGACTTTAATTTCCTATACTGAGTGTCTAGTAATGTGGCTTGTGCCAGGGAGGTAAATAATCGGACCACACCTATAGATTCCTTTTCATGCTAAATATTCAGATGACAACAAATATGAAGATTAAAAGAAGACAGCAATAATGATGATGATAATTAAAAAAATAAATGTTTAAACTGACACTGTCATAAATATAATAATAATAATAATAAAAATATTTACCAGTCCCACCGCTAAAGACACTGATCTTCAGAGCTGCAAAGGCCAATTAATCTTACACTTCTGGGGTTGTTGGATGCCTACGCCCCCCCCCCCCTGCCTGATTTGGCTCCTTTTTCCTACATAGGGCCATCCTTTTAATGAGGCAGCCGAAGGCTGTTGCCTCAAGTGGCATCTTTTTGGGTCACATGGGGGCTCAGAAGGCAGAGCTGCACAATTTTTGTCGTGTGTCTGCTGTACCATTTCCAGCTAGATCCCAGGTGGCTAAAAGCTGGATGGGGGAGATGTGTAAGGGCCGTGCAATGTGTAATTTCCCTGCCCAGCTCTTCAGCTACCAGGGAGGTTCTGGTCAGCGTCCCACCCAGCTCCTGGCAGCCAGTGATGTCACTGGCTGCCAGGAGCTGGGCGGGACGCCGGTCAGAGTGTCCCAGACTGCTAAGAGCCCCTACACTACCCTCCCCACCCCTCTGTGCTGGGGCCTCAGGTTGCATAAAGGCAGGGACACCACTGCTCCTACCAATACATCACTATTGTGCTCCTACAGAACTGCGGTAATTAGCAGCTGCCAGATGAAGCCACAAAATGCAGCAGGGAACCTGGGCATCCAACATGCCAAAATTATTTTATTTAGTATGCAATCTGTAGGCAAAAAATGTAACAAAACCAAAGAAAATGCACTTGTCTTTCCTACTTTGATCAGTGTTAGTTTTATTTTTTAAGAGATTAAAAGCATTATTATTTTTATTATACTATTTATCCTGTGCAACATGACATTAGAATTATGATTCTGGCACAAAACACTGCAAATTTATTTACAAATGGAAGAAAAGATTTTTTTTTTTAATGTAACACTAAAAATGAACAGAACAAAAGGGGGGAAAGGGAGAGGAAGGAGATAATTAGGTCTGATTAGGCTAAACAAATGGGTTATAA